TAGAGGCCTTGCGACGAGCTGATCACCCGCCCAAGGAGTCCTACCGAATGTGTAAGATCTAGAAAAACCGAAGTGAACGGAGAAGTTCATGGAGCTAGGCCTAGGCCCACTGGGGCTGTAGTGCCAAGGAAAAATAAAAGGCCGCTAACTAAGAACAGGACAACACAAACACAAAATAAACGCAAACAGACATCCATGCCGCGAATGGGATTCGAATCCACGATCCCAGTCTTCGAGCTGGGCAAAACATTTCATGTTTTAGACCGCTCCATACCAATTCCTACACAAAAGGTAAACAAGACACAGCATGAACAACTGGAATTAATTATAGTGACCACGTGAAAGTTCGAAGCGAAATTTCGAAAAACATCTCTTCGAGTCGTAAATTATAAAATCCTACCTGTTGTTTGCGCGTCTGTTAGTAAAGTGAAGTCAACAGGGAAATGATGCGAGACAGCAGACTCAAAACTGACCGCCCGTCCTACAAATTTACAAGAGAGGGCCACACACACACACACATTGTCTGCCAACTTTCACTAGACGAATCAACAATGCAGGTACCTTTCGTCTATTGTTAAACGAAGACTCCGATGGGGGAATGTTTAAAAGAATATGAAAACTGATTTGGGGTGGTTTCTCAAAGAATGGTTTCTAGTTGTTCCAGGAGTAAACAATAATGTTCAAATTTGTACAGTTCGGCCTTTCAGTGTTAACATCTTTCGATATAATCCTGTTCTAACAGACTTTCATGGCCCACTACAACTGATGGAATTGTGTGACGTTCACATACAGAAGGAAGCAAGGAAGTCCGGGTGGGTCCCGGCCTCTCAAAACTATTGCACAAATAAATAATTTTAAATACTATTTAACCTTTGAAAAAGGCGACTATGAAGAATTCTATCTTCTGGATTATAACATGTGGTCCAGTAAAAGCCAACTGACGTTTCAGAGGAAAATATAGTCGAAGAATGCCGTCTTCTGGGACGTGGAGCCGTGTAGATACCGTGTTAACCGACGTTTTGGAGGAACGTATCGCCTCCATCTTCAGGGTATAAGAAATCCGCTAGCGATGAACCAGCGTGAGCAAGTGGCTGCAGACTGCGGGATTTCTTTTACCCCGAAGATGGAGGCGATGCGTTCCTTTGAAACGTCGACTAGCACAATATCTATACGGCAACACATCCCAGAAGACGGCATTCTTCCTAGTCACCGCCGTGAAAACATCAAATCGAAAATATAGTCATCATATTAAGGGCCGAAGCAGGACTCTAACCACATGTTCGCTTCCTATTGGTCAGCGCTTTACTTCTCCTAGCAACCAACTACGGCTTCACATCCAACGCATTACCCAAAGTGACAGCTGTACAACAGGTAACAAATCCCTTCCAGAAGTTATTAACGTTCTCCGAAACGTCGGGAAATTATCAACAGTCGGCACACACGTACTTATACACACACATACTTCCGTCACAAAAGAAACACTTCATTTTATCATTTCCTTCCCCTCCTTGTTACATGTTTCGACCTCACGCGGCCATCATCGGGCAACTGTTCATCTTGCTAAAACCGTTGCACTGCATTTGAAATGAGTTAGTTCCAAACTGAAATATGTCAGTGCCGTTCCAATAAGAGAAAATGTATCTGTTCGAGCGCAATGTTCTCCGTATGTCGTCGTAATGTTACTACGTGTAGGGTGGTACGGGTGACGAAAATAAAGGGTTCTAGTTCGGATGACTGGATTTATTGGCACTTCCGTTACACTCTCTCCCTTAATTACACTTAAATACAGCGCTATCGCTGATTTTCATCCTTTCCAGTTCACCCTTGCACACGCACTAGGATTCCCAGTCTTCGCTAGTCGTGTCCTGGTAACGGACCTCAACACAGACTTCAAATCACTATGAAGTCTTCTTGCTATTTTGTCTTCAATCACTCTGGTACGTCGGAATTAAATATTCTCCTGGACTCACTCCTCCAGCTTACGGCTGACTCCTATCTGCCCTTCAACTAAATCTGTCACTACCTCGGTTATTCTGGGAATCTCGTTATATAGCCGCAGCACGGACCATACAGAAAATACAGTTCTATTGTAAGAATCATTGCTTGACCTAATAACTGCCCACAGAGAACTCCGTTCCTACTGTTGGTCGGCGCAGACGACATAGTAAACACAACCTCATCTACTGTTGCGTGTTGGGCGTGTTTACATAACCGTTGCCTGGCAACACGTTAATCAAATCTGTTACATTATTATATGTTCCATTTGTTTGTGTATTTGCACGGTGTTGGATTAGTTGAGTGAGTGTGTCACTTATTATTATCCTATTTCTACTGGAACCTCAACTTCGTGTCCTCAAAATCCAACCATAACATTCAATACTGCAAAAAATATAAAATACAGGTCTCAAGAAACTCTCGCAGCTGATGACAGAAACGGCAGAAAAACTGCCGTCGATATATCCGGCTATCGATAAATTTTGTGCTACATGCAACCAGAGCGTGAAGCCATCTATCGGCGCACTCTGTTACTATAATTTCGCTCAGCGGTGTTACGGTTTAATTTCCTTTCCTTCTGATACTTAATGACGCTGTGAGCATTGAGACTGCGCAGCGTCGATGATTATTGAGCGTGGAGCAGGTGGTGGAATGAGAATTGATAGGGGAA